GGGCTATTGAATCAAACACTTGACTTCCTCCTGTTCACACTGTGAAATACCTTGTAGATGCAAAATGAAAAGCAAGACTCATGAAGTCTGATAGATGAAACGAAAGGAAATTTATTGCTTTTCATCAGAGAACGTTTTGCATTAGAAATACCTGTTCGTAAGATCTTAAAGTTAAGTTGAATGAAGTGCCAAATCAATAGCGATAATGATCTCTCACTGTTGTGAGTTTTACTCTGTCGACTTTCCCATGTTTGTAGAGAAGAGAAGGCTCATATACTAATCATAAAGGGACTAAAACATAGATTGAAGAAGCACTGCATATCGTTGATCTTTGTAGTTGTTGTAGACTCGAATCATCTTTTTGCTTTGTAAGATTTGCATTCTCGGGTATAGTTGAGAACGAGAGAGTGACTCGAATGCGAGTATGTATTCGATCTTTATCTCATCGCTTGTTTAGGTGTGTTATAGGAAAACATTGATCTTCCATTTGAACTTTTTCAATTGAGAAGCATCCATAGAAGTTTATAAATATTATAAATAAATGGCAAACATTTGCATAAAAAATCTTACACATAGAGAAAAATTTATTACTAGCGACAAACCCAATGAGAGTAAGCATCACAGAATCAAAATGCTTCTTAGACTATGGCCGCTATATCAAACAGACTACTCCATTGCGCAAAGATCTTTTTGCAATCGTAAATTCTAACATTACTGCGAGAAAGAATTCTTTGTGTCTAGCATTGAGTTGTTCACAAAATTAACTTTCAAATAAAATATAATCGTGGTAATACTAATTAAGACATTAAAAGTAAAACAAAGTCACTTAAAAATATAATTATTTCCTTCCATAGAATCTGTATATGTCGTGTTACAGACATCTTGCTGAATTATAAATATTAAGAAAATATTCTATGGCTAGTGAAATATAATCAATCTCTACTGTCTTTTCCATTCTTTATTTCTGTTTGCATTTTTTCTTTTTTTGTGTATTGACCCTCATTGTAAAAGAATATAGATGTTGAGAATTTTATTTGGAAAGGTATATTTCTCGTATATTGTACATTTGGACAGTTGGAAAAAGAAAAAGAGAAGTGACCATCTAGCAATTAACAGTGGAAAGTACACACACACAGACATAGTTTTGCTGTGAATGTGAGAGATTATTTCGAACAGAAGAGCAAATGAACTAATTGAAAAAATTTTCACTACTAGATTTATTACAACATGTCACTGGTAGTACTACATTGCTCACCTTTTATTTTGCGCAGAATGGATTTGAAAAACAATGAATATCTTGCTTTTTCTTAGCAATCAATGATCTCTAATTTAGATTTTTCTTTATTTTCTTGAGTTTTCTTCTTTTAGACCGATTTCTTCTCTAAAACAAGTGTAAAAAATCAAAAAAATATATAACTGAACCGTATAAGTATTACTTTTTTTCTGTATTCTTTAACTAAGTCTCCGATACTTTTTCTTATACGATACGTGAAGACAGATTTAAGCACGCTGTTGAGGATGAACAGGTATGAAAAAGTTTTTGTTATTTTCGTCTTTGATTGTTCTAGATATAATCAAGCGTTATTTTTAGAGTTCGTTGGTTTCACTCTTAAGAATGATTTGCATACTTGGAGATCAACAGCGAAAGTACCTAAAGAGCTACCTTTTTTTCTTATTCATTTGAATGTTATCACCTTGTTCTTCTTGTTACTATAGCTGTTAATCTAGAAGTTAAGATAATCTTCGATATTATTTCTTTATTCATCATGCATTCATTATGCATTTCTTTCTTAATCAAAATGATACTAAAATATTCTTTTTTTTAAAATGAATGACTGTTATAGGTATGTCTATAAATATGGAGCGAAAACGTGTGACCTTGATCCTTCGGTAAAAGCACAACAGCATAAACATGTTCTTTGTTGGAAAATAAAACATAAGATTTTTGAAAGTTCACCTTTTATCATACTCTTGCTAAACATAGTCAGACTGATTTTCACTATTATTAATGCACGCATACTCCCCTACTTTTTCTAGAGCAATATATGGCCACTACATCAAACAATAATGAATTACGTAAAAAGCTCTCTGAATCAACAACACCAGCATCGTCTCATGATATTTTGTCACCATCACCATTACAAACAACAACAACAACAATCACCCAATTACCACATTTATTAGAAACAAGAGCATCGGATACTGAATTTTATCGTATCGATCAACCATCATATTCACATTCCATATTTGCTGATTCATTAAGAGACTGGAAAGACCCATTTCTTCATGGCTCAGAACCAATTAAAATCCCTCTTTGTCCTAGATGTTCGTCGTGCAAATGTCGCTCATTACTCAATCAACCAGTAGTAAATACATCAACTCCTCAGCTTACTTATCAATACGAGGATATACATCATGATCACCAACACCACCACTTTCATCATCATCCATCATGTCCTAGTTATAAATCGAAACTGTACTCGTCTGCCGATCGAACTCGGTCACTTTCAGTTTCGACGGACCATACGTCCTCTCATGTCTCATCCAATTATTTAAACTCTGATAAAAGTATGTCTTCGTTAATATCGCCAAGAGATCGCACAAAATCATTAATGGCAACAACAGCAAAATCAAAAATACCGGTGCCTTCTTTTGCAAGAGGAATGTCAAAATCCAGCGAGAAGACTAATGGTACGTTCACTAACAGACAAATTTTAGATAGATCGACAAAAACATTGATACCACGATTGATCATTAACAAAAATATTTCTAAAAACCAGTCATCTGGACAAGAAAAACAAGCAGAAAAAGTGACGTACACTAATGATGCAAAATTAGATATAAATAAAGATACAGCTGACAATTCTCAAACTGATCAAGACAGGTAGGAGGAGAAGTTTATTGCTTTCTATTATTACCCTTACAACCAAATCAAATTGTTCAAGGTTTATCAAACCTACCACAGACCGTCTGTAAACTGTGCAGCCTATTCTATGAGCCAAATAAAAATAATAATAAAAATTCACCATATGGCTTAATAAAATTATCAGTTTGTTGCTCTTCTAATGATTTTTCTTTATTTTATGTCAGAGCAACTGTGAGCGGCGAGAGTCTATAATGTTTCCACTACACTAGATAAAGATTAAAGACTTCCAAGAGTTTAGAAAACATAACCCGATCGTAACTGAATAAAAAAAAAATCGATCAAAAATGTAAACATTAGACAGATGTTTGTTCGACAGATCTTTTTCTTTGAAAATTGTAGCATCGTTAGTTTAAAAAAATGAACATTATCAGTCACTATCAATTCTCTCAGTAAGAATGCATTAGTCAAAGATGTGTATAGAAACAGTTTTGTAGTCAACAGATTAATGATTTCTCGACAAAAAATTGTGAATAGGCACTAGTCACACTTTTGACAGGAAACATATCTCTTTATAATATTGATTTCAGCTATACTCCAGTAACGGTCTTGGTTAACAAACTAAAACTTTGACTGATACCAGTAAACTTTTATACCGAATTTATGGAGAGAATCAAAAATAGCGAAGCCGAATTGTTTGAAAGTCATATATTTATACATAATGCCTTTGTTTTATATGTAAAGCCTATGCAAGGAACCAGCATTCGCGATTAGGGGGTGGCATACAACCCTCTCGTTTGGATACAGTTATTCAAAAAATTGTTTCTTAGTCAAAGTTTTTAAGAAATTTAAGAGAAACTATCTTGTATGCACCTGAGTAAGTGATTTTCTCCAACTTCTGAGTAACCCATTTTTTTCTGAGTAACTTAATTACTCAGAAAAAGATTTTAGTCAAAAAATGCGTTGCTCAATGAAAAACTTTAGTTACTCAGCCTGCTCGGGGGGGGGGGGGGGGGGGGGGGGGGGGGGGGGGGGGGGGGGGGGGGGGGGGGGGGGGGGGGGGGGGGGGGGGGGGGGGGGGGGGGGGGGNATGCGGCAAAGTTTACCCCCAAAGACTATATGCGGCATTCTATAGAATACGAGATTCATAAATCAATAACTAAACTTATTTGATACTAAAACAGTTATAAATGTGAGTAAAAATTTTCATAAAAAAATGATCTTGATCATAAAAAGGATTAAGTGTTCTCGTTTTCAAACGTTAATAGCAAGGTATTGTGTGATTAGGTAAACACTAATTTTCACCACTCGAAAAAATTAAGTAAGAATCTCGTAATTTTTAATGTTTTGTTGAATAACAAGCAAGCATTTAGAGACAAGACAATATATTTGTTGTTCATGAGAACAATTTTTTCCCTGAAGAAAAAAATGTGAACATCTAGCTATAGACATGTTCAAAAAACAAACAATACATTGTTCAACATTTCATCAAAATGCGAGTGCTTTTGATAGCAATAGGATCATTTACAAAGAAAAGAGCAAAAGGAATAGTCCCAGATCATAATTACAAATGAAAACTAGTTACAAGGGAGAAGTTTATTGTAGTTTTTAGTGACTTAAACACAATAGTAGGTTAGTATGATGTTTTACTAATTACATTGTCTCGATTTTTCTCATTCTAAAAAACGAATATTGCATACACTTTGTTTCAAGGCTAAAATGTACCTACTTTATATTTATACTTGAAAATTCACTAGCAGCAACAAATTCCGTCATGAATCATTTTTTTTTTTCGACTGGTTACGTTATAGTTTCTCAGTTTTATTAATTGGTATTCAATGTTGTAGAATGTTTCAAACGTTGTTTCACTGTGGAAAAGTTTATCGAAAAGTAAGATTCACTTCCTACTTTCGCTCGTTTCAGATCTGTGATGCCTACAAGAAGTAAAGACTTGAAGAGTGAAACTAATAACGATTTTTTTAGTCACATTATAATTCTGCAATAATGTTCACATATACGATAGGTGCCTTACTGCACTTTTCCTCCATTCTCTTGGCTAGCTAACTAATACGGATTTACCACAGGTTAAACGAGCGAATCGCAATGCCTAATTTTATAATGTTCTCCGTAAATGGCGTACATAACCGTTTAAAACTCCTTAAGGCGCAATGACGCAGTTGGAGGGAAGACCATTGCTTGTTGACACACTGAAAATTTTCAAAATCATACGAAGACGAAACAGATTTGACCAAAGTTATTTCGCAGAAAAATGTTTTTGCAGGCTACTTATGATCATTACGGTTATGATCTAATATAAAATATTTCTGCTCAGGTCCGCTCCGTTACTGAGATGTGACATATTTTGTGTAAAACTGGCTCTTGTTGATTGCCCCAAAGGAAAGATTGTAACTTTATTACTTAGGTAGTTGTAACTTTATACTTAAATGATCGACAACTTGTGGCACTGAGATTGCTTCTATGACTGGAGAGCGTGGGAAAATTTTTGAACATTTTCCATTTTTAACCATATCGGACTTCGCATCTGTTCACGATTTCTACCAATGAAAACGAAGCTCGTACCAAACTAAACTGTAGGGTTATTTTATTTATAACGGGATAATTATACGTAGCCTGCAAAAAAACTAGTTACTTATGGTTATTTTACAAACAATGTCTCCTACCTCCGTGCTGGGGCGGGCGCTGAGCAGAGATATTTTATATTAGTCATAACGGTATGATTTTGAGTAGCTTGTAAAAAGAAATTTTCTTCAACTCCTCTGCAATCCCAGCCAAATCTGTCGCGTCTTGAAATGTTGACTACTGTTTCAGTTAAAGATTTTAAAAATGCTTTTTGACAGACGGCATGATCCAGACAATTTTTTCGTGATCTAATGGAAATTGACTCAATAATCAAAAAGTCTTGTATTGTATCACTGTCGAATCTGAGGAAACAAAGTACTACTGGATATGTTCGAGGGTAACCTGTATGTAAGAGAAAGTCACCAGAATCGTTATTATTTTAACAGTTTGTTCTCAATAGTTCAAAGCTACTATTTTTTAATGAAAGTACAGTTTTTTGATTTAAGAATGTGAATGCGAAAGATGTTCAGTGAATATTTAAATAAATTTTTTTTTATCTTGTTCAAAGTAGAGAGGTGTGTGTTTGCAATCGAAGTAGTTGTAATCGAAACTTCAAGGTTTTTGTTTTTGATCGTTGAGAGTGTTAACATTTTTTTTCTCTGTTCCTGTTCTTCGATTTTTCTTTTACTTTTTTAAACCACAGAAGTTTCAGTTTTCAGTGTAACATCGCTATGTAAGTCAATAAACATAATAAAGTAATGAATGAAGAAGAAAAAGATAGAGTAAAATGTAAAGTCGAAATTTGAGATAATAAATAAACAAATAAATAGAATTATGTAGTTGTTAATAATATTAACTTTTACTTATTTCTACATTGTAGTTTAATGGATTCTTATCATACAGCACCTCCCGGTGATAACGAAAGCAATAGCCTCGATGAACAAAAACAAATAAAACGATATAAACGGAGTCCATCGTCATCCAATTGTGAATCGGGAAAAAATCGAAAATTGTCAAAAACAGAAGGTAATCAAAGTCAAAACTTTGAAAAAAGAAGATACGTGAAGGAAAAATGTGTGGTGGTGTCGGAGATGAATTTCTTTTTCCGCTAAAGAGTGTAAAAGACTCTCCTCTAAATTCTTGATTATAAGAACATTACAACGCTTCTGTTTCTGCATTTTAAATCGATCACTAAAAAGCACAAATTAGTTCTGTTGCTTGCTGTGATGTATTCAAAGTGAAAGATTTAGTTGATATTCGGAAAGTAAATTAGACTTATCGATTAATAATCGTAAAATCACTTTTATTAACTAGTGTTTTATTTGAAAACAGTATATACACATTTTCAAGAGGTAACAACTGTATTTATGGGAGAGATTATGTGTAATTTGATCGAATATACAAATAATCCAGAAAATAACACAAATTTATTGACATTAAATTGTTGCATGTAATAGAATAAGAAGAAAAAAATATTTTCTTTTTCATTCACGGTTTTTGCGTTCTCAGACATACATTTCTTTTTTTTGAAACATGAGAAATATCCGAAATCTTAAATTCTAGCTATGTTGTTCGATAGCTCTAGAACTTTAGCCGCAATATAACAATATTGGTAAAGAAAAAAAAGAAAGGAGAGAATACCATGGATTTCTGCTCATTGTCTGTGCTCTTAGTAGAGTTTTATGTCAAGACAAACGAATTATATAGATAGATCTTATTAAATATGTGAGCAATCTCAAGTATAGGCTTATTAGGCCATTTAGAAATTTCAGTTGTCTACAGTTGCTAACTAAAATGTAGCAAAGAACTATATCCATAACTCTCACAAATACTGCTTGGGTTAAAAGCCACTACTGAACACGCACGTTCATTGGATACTGTTGAGATGTATGTGTGATATCGACCTTGTATAAAGTATTCCATTTTCATTATATTTTTGAGTATTCTTTTTAAAATAGATTAATAGTGACCCTTTTCTTTTGTTTTTTATATGAAAATAGATAAACTCACATTATCAGCCTGTCATTCGTTTAATTATCATCGATATAGTTTTGATCTGTGTGACAAGAAAAAGAGTAGCTAATATAGATAATAGTATAGTATTAGTTCCACTACATGTTATTTAAACGAATAATATACATGGAGCCAGTTAAGGGCATTTGTTAAAAAGTAAAAAGAAAAGTATGAGTATAAAGTCGTTATCTTCAGTCATTACTAACCTCTTTAGAACATAAAAGAGAGGCTCTAATAATCTTGCTCTGGTTTTTTTTTGTTTTTCTTTTATTGATTCATACTCTGCTTGAGATACTGACGAGAAGCAATACTAATGCCCCGAAAACCTGATTATGCTATGCAGTATTTGAATATTATTAATTTTTTTTGTAGATTCTAAGATAAGAGCTTACCAACCATCATAGATATTGGAAGTGGTGTTGAGAAGATTCT